AGGGAGGGAGGGGGGAGGGAGGGAGGTTTTTCAGTGGAGACTCCATGGCTGCCTGAGCTGAATAAGAAGACAGAAAATGGCAGGTGCTCCCATCAAGCCAACCCACATGGACCATCTCCAGCCTGTGACGGGAACATGTGCCTGCCAGAAAGCCAAGGTGCTCTTCTCCAGTCATAAAAGCAGGAGCACCTGGCTCCGCCCGGTAAAATCCCAACCTGTACTTGAAAGCCACCCATTTGGAAGTGAGGTTTTTTTAATAACCAAGAAAATAAAATGGGCTCTAATCTACTGAAGGATATTCCCAAACTTCAGTGTTCTCCTGGAACAAACATTTGGGTTTTTTGTTCTACAGGAGCCCTTTTCATACAGCACAAACCATTAATCTGCTGCGCTAATATATTAAGTATCCAAAAGGGTTTTCATGCATTAAGGCATTCAATTTCTTTTCTTAATGTCACCCAACCTCCATTGCATTATTATTCACTTTCTGGAATTGCTTCGGTATAATACTTTCTAACAAAGAAGCAGTTAGGGGTCCTTATTTTTTAATCATGGCTTCCAAAAAGGGATGAGGCTGTGCAAGATTCTCTTTTGGAACGAAGGTTCAATTTGGTCCCCCCAAAAACCAGACCAGCCCTGATACCTCCCAAACCACTGGCACTGAAAGCAATCATTCCATCTCATGTGAAGTTATTAGTTTGGCTGCGAAAAATCAAAGGGGTTTGAGCTCGGATTGTGTCTTCTTCTTTCCTCTGCCTTTCACACAGTCAAAATGCAAATGAAGGCAAATGAGACACTGGCAGGGATGGCAGCGGCAAGGAGAAAGACCTGGGCAGCGTTCTGCAAAAATAGGCTTGCCCTGGCTTCAATTAAAAAGTTATGGGATGATTAATAGCCCATTTTCGGGTCCATGGCCAAGTCCCTAGGAGGAACACCTAGGCATTCTTCCTTGCAAGGGCTCCCCTGCTCCTGTATCGACATCTCTGGCTGAACCAGAGGGAGAGACACTTGCTCAGCAGGAGAGAGCGAGCTGATGCCAGAACCTACGAAACCGGAGGAAAGCCAGTCGCCCCCGAAATGGGGGCTGCACGAAGGGGCTGGAGGCTCCTGCGCCAAACAGATGGCAGAAGCTGCAACTGCCCGTTCTTTTATGCAGCGCAGATCGATTACTCTAAATCGGGTTGTAATTTCATCCAAGGCAACATCCAATTGCCTTCTCGTTTCAACAGCTTCGTTAGTTTGGCCCCAGTTTTTGCACACAAGATCACTGCTCCTCTGAATGAAAGAACTGCATTTCCCTCCCACTCACCCACCTAAGGTCCCCCCTCATCTCCATCCACTCCCTATCAAACTGCTGGGTTCGACTTATTGAAGCACTTCCAGAGGAGCAAATGGGATTTTAAAGGCCCATCAGGGTTTGGAATATGTGCTGGGTTTCAAAGATGGTTCTCCATCTACTTTGAGAACTGGAGACACAGGAACAAAGCTCTAAAAGTAACGCGCTCCTCCGCTTTAAGCCTTGAACATTCTCGCTTGGAGAACACAGAAACGCTGCTGCGCTAGAGTCTATCTGACATTCATGTAATTAAGAACGTTTCTGCAGAGATGGGCTGAGGGAGGGGGGTGGTATTCATTTTAATTTCCCACTAAATGATTTCAGGGGCTCCCAACAGCTAACGGCGCGACTGCCAGCTGGGATCCAGAGGAGCAGTCTGCTCACTCCCGGCTAGGCACCCTTTAGCCTCTGCCTGGCAGAGGCCGGGAGGCAAGTGGTCCCGCGGCAGACCTTGCCTCTTCAGAAGGGGCTTCCTGCAGCAGGACAAATGGGCATCAGCCGACTGGGGCTAAAGGGAGTCACCATCCCTTCCCCAGAGGGGCAAAGAGGGGATCCTGTCACCCCGCCGGCCCAGAGCAGCCTCAAGCCAAGCCTGAGCTCGCCCGGCCGCCTAGCCACCCGGGGAGGGCAGACGGAGCGCAAGCTGCTCCA